ATGTTCCAGCGTGCACATGAGCCCGAGGGACTTCCTATGCGTACTTGCACGTGTCCGAGATACCGTAAACATATGTATGCATCCTTCTTATCCTGCGTTGGCCTCTGTGTCTGAACAATCTTTGTGCTTTAACATTACCATTCACTCACGCGTTTTAATACCATCACCGCGATGCCCCGGCGCCCGTGGCCTGTACCCGAGTCTCTGGTTTAAAACAGATATTGCAAGGCTTGATATCGATTTCTGTTCACGACGGCGCCCAGGCCGTTTCGCGTCGCTGCGGAGTCTCCTTCGTGCCGCGATTCTGTGTGTATTTCCTGGCCTGTTCCGGTTTTCACTTAATAATCTCTCTTTTCTACCTCCTTTGCCTTTTTCTCTCCTCCTCCTCCTCCTCTTTTCCACCTTCACTCCCTCCACCTACACCTTCCTCCACCTCCACCTTTTCCACTCTCCTCCTCCCTTCATGCTTCACCTTCTACCTCCTTCTCCCTCCTCATTGCTTCATCTCACCTCCTCCTCCTCCTCCTCATGCTTTACCTCCACCTCTCCACCTCCCCCTAATCATCATCCTCTCCTCCAACTCCACCACCCTCACCTCTACCTCTTCCTCACTCCCCTCCAACCTCTCTCCACTCCTCCTCCCCTCCAACCTCACCACTCATCCTCCACCTCACCTTCCCCTCCACTCCAACCTCCTCACCTGTTCCTCCACCTCTCTCCTCCTCCACCTCCTACTCCTCCTCCACCTCCACCTTCCCACTCCAACCACCTTCACCTCCTCTCTCCTCCTCCTCCCTCCTCCACCTCCCCCTCCACTCCACCTCTACACCTCCACTCCACTCCACCTCCACCTCCACCTCCACCTCCACCTCCACCTACCTCCACCTCCACCTCCACCTCCACCTCCACCTCCACCTCCACCCTCCCCTCCACCTCCTCCACCTCCTCCTCTACTTCTCCACCTCCACCTCCACCTCCTCCTCCACCTCCACCTCCACCTTCCACCTCCACCTCCTCCTCCTCTCCTCCTCCTCCTCCACCCACCTCCTTACCATCCTATCGACATGACACCCCAAATTCTCATTTCCGAAAGATATTTCGTATTTTCAAAAAAAAAAAAAAAAAAAAAAAAAAAAACTCGGCCCTCAAGTTCCACAATAACGGCTTTTCAATTTTGATTTATGCTTCCTGTCGGCTGTCTCTCTCTCTCTCTCTCTCTCTCTCTCTCTCTCTCTCTCTCTCTCTCTCTCTCTCTCTCTCTCTCTCAAAATTATGCTGATTTTGTATTCCGTTCACTCACAGGATTGTTATTTCAGCGTTCTTAACGAGTCGCGGCTTGTTCACACTCTGTTGTAATCTGAATGGTTGTTTGTTTCATGTACTCGTCGGTTTGTGTATTGGGTGAATAGTTTTTTGTTTTTTTTTTTATGACTGGGTCTTTTTCTGTCTTTGTCTTTGTCATTGCATTGATATTGGCATTGGTATTGGCATTGGCATTGGCATTGGCAATTGGCATTGTCTTTGTCTCTGTCTTGTCTCTGTATCTGTCTCTCTGTCTCTGTCTGTCTGTCTGTCTCTGTCTGTCTCTGTCTGTCTGTCTGTCTCTCTCTCTCTCTCTCTCTCTCTCTCTCCTCTCTCTCTCTCTCTCTCTCTCTCTCTCTCTCTCTCTCTCTCTCTCTCTTTCTCTCTCTCTTTATTCAATTTGATTTCTGATTGGAGAATATGTACGTATCGTTTATGTATATTGAAAATAGTGATCAATGGGAAAAAATAGTAAATAGAAACCAAAAATAATAACAAAAAAAACTAAAAATAAAAACAAAAACAAAAAAAGATAATCAATAACCAACTGAAACACCCTTCCCTCCACCCCCCAACCCTCCCCCCCCACCCCCCACCCCCCAAAAAAAAAACAGACCCCAAAAGTGATCAACAACATAAACAAAAACAGTATTGGCCTATATACTCCTTACTGTTGAACCATTCTGCTATGCTGTCCATCATGATGTTGACTGCGATATGCAAATCACTCGCACTGGATTCGACAAGCCATCAGATCAGACCACATCACAGTCATTAAGCAATTAATCATCTTTAAGTGCCTTTCACAGCCCTTCGCGAAGACAAATTCCTCCTGGTCTCGACTCTGCCTCGAAAATGGAGTTGCAACAGCTGTTTGATTTGCAAGAAGTCATTTACATCTTGCAAACGGCATCATATCTTCAGCGAGTTTGTTTATGCGCAAACGAGTGTGACTGGAGGAATGCTACAGAAAATTGTCTTAAACGGGTCGAGATAAGCTGGGACTTTGATGCGGCAGGACTGATAAATGCTTGTTTTTCTTTCAGTTTTATGGAAATGACTTTCGTAACAACAGCTGTCCGGAATTAATGTTTTGTTATTATTGCCTGTGCTACATAGATAGCTTCAACCTCTTTAATTGTGCTACCGCAGTTATGAAACCATATTTGCTTTATTGATATCAATATTACCATTTTATGATTATTATTATCATTATTACTGTTATCATTGGTAGTAGTTGTGATTGTAGTTGTAGTAGTAGAAGTAGTAGTTGCAGTTTGTTATTATTATCATTATTATCATTATTATTGTTATCACTACCCTTATTACTATTGTTATCATTATTATCATCATTATTATCATCATCTTCATAATTATTACTATTATCATTATTATTATTGTTATTATCATTTTCATCATAATCATTACTATCATTCTCATTATTATCCTTATTATTATTACTATTCTTCTTATTATTGTTTTTGTCATTTATATCATTATGATTATAATCATTGCAATTATTATCATTATCATTATTATCACCATTTATATTATATTATTATTATTATTATTTATTATTATATTATTATTATTATTATATTGTGTTATTATTATTATTATGATTATTATTATCGTTATTATTATTACCATTATTATTATTTAATATCATTATCATTATCATTATTATTTATTTCATTATTATCATTATTATCATCATTATCATTATCATTTCTATTATTATTAACGTTATTATTATCATATTATTGTTATCATTGTTAACATTATTATTATAATTATTGTTTGTCATCATTATTATTATCATCATAATTATCATGATTATTAATACAATTATACCCGCAGCGAAGTCCTCAAACCCAAAAGTCACCAACAAAGTCATCAATCCAAAAGTCACTCATCGAATTCATCAAATCCAAACGTCATTAACTTTAAAGTCATCAACCTCAAAGTCATCATCAACTCAAAAAGCAAAGTCATCAAATCGTCAACCTCAAAAAGATCATCAACCCCAAAAGTCATTCACCTCAACGTCATCTCATCAGAGTACACCAGACCCAAAAGTCATCAAACCTCAACTCATCAACCTCAAGGTTCATCAACAAAGTCATCAACCCTCAAAGTCATCAACCTCAAAGTCATCACCCCAAAAAGTCATCAACCTCAAATCATCATCATCAAAAGTCACCAGACCCAAAGTCATCAACAAAAGTCATCAACCTCAAAAGTCATTCAAACCTCAAAAGTCATCAACCCCAAAAAGTCATTCAACCTCAAAGTCATCAACCCCAAAAGTTCATCAACCTCAACGTCATCTCATCAAAGTCACCAGACCCAAAAGTCATCAACCTCAAAGTCATATCAACCCCAAAATAACCTCAATCATCAACCCAAAAAGTCATCAACCCAAAAGTCATCAACCCCAAAAAGTCATCAACCTCAAAGTCATCAACCCAAAAGTCATAACCTCAAAGTCATCAACCCCAAAAGTCATTCAAACCGAAGTCATCAACCCAAAAGTCATCCAACCTCAAAGTATCAACCCCCAAAAGTCATCAACCTCAAAGCTCATTTCAACCCCAAAAGTTATCAACCTTCAAAGTCATCAACTCAAGTCAATCAACCTCAAAGTCATCAACCCCAAAGTCATCAACCTCAAGTCATCCACCTCAAAAGTCATCAACCCCAAAAAGTATCAACCTCAAAAGTCATCAACCTTCAAAGATCTCTATCAACCCAAAAAGTCATCAACCTTCAAAGTCATCAACCCCGCGTAAAACTCATTCAACTCTAAGCACGTCAATCAATCCCAAAAGTCGATCAACTGCCTCAAAGTCATCAGCCACCATACAACTCATCATTCAAAGTTCAATCAACCTCAAAGTCACTCAACCCCCAAAAAGTCAATCAACTCCAAAGTCTTAACCCCCACCCAAAAGTCAATCAACCTTCCAAAGTCATCAACCTCAAATCATCAACCAAATCATTCACCTCAAAACGTCATCAACCCCAAAAGTCATCACCAAAGTCATCAGACCCAAAAGTCATCAACCTCAAAGTCATCATTCAACCTCAACGTTCATCAACCCCAAAAGCTCAATTCCAAACTCAGTTCAATCAACCCAAAATCATCAACCTCAAGTCAATAACATCAACCCTAAAAGTCATCAAACCTCAGTCATCAACCACCTCATCAGTCATCAAACCCAAAAGTCATCAACCTCCAAAGTCATCCAAACTCAAAGTCATCAACCCAAAAGTTCATCCCAAAGTCATCACACCTTCAAAAGTCATCAACCCCCAAAAGTCATCAACCTCAAAGTCATCAACCTCAAAAGTCTTACCCAAAGTTCATCAACCTCAAAGTTCATCAACCCCAAAAGTCATCAACCTCAAAGTCATCAACCCCAAAATAAGTCATCAACGCACAAAAGTCATCAACCTCAACGTCATCAACCCAAAAGTCATCAACCTCAAAGTGATTCATCAAAAACAACCACAAAGTCATTAACTCAACGTCATCAACCCCCAATAAGTCATCAACCTCAAAGTCATCAACCACAAAGTCAAAACCATCAACGTCATCAACCCCAAAAGTCATCAAACCTCCAAAGTCATCAACCCTCATCACCCCAAAAGTCATCAACCTCAAAGTCATCAACCAAAGTCATCACCCAAATCATCACACCCAAAAGTCATCAACCTCAGTCATCAACTCCCACAACTCAATCAACCTCAAAGTTTCAACAAAGTCATCAACCCCAAAAAAGTCATCAACCTCAAAGTCATCAACCCCAAAATCATCAACCTCAAAGTCAATCAACCCAAAATCATCAACCTCAAAGTCATCAAACCCCAAAAGTCATCAACCTCAAAGTCATCCAACCCAAAGTCTCAAAAAAAGTCACCCTCCCAAAAGTCATCAACCTCAAAGTCATCAACCTCAATCCTCAAAGTTCATCAACCCCAAAAGTCATCAACCTCAAAGTCATCACCTCAAACAGTTCATCAACCCCAAAAGCATCAACCTCAACGTCATCACCCCAAAAGTCAATCAAATCATCCCCAAAAAGTCATCAACCCCAAAGTCAATCAACCTCAAAGTCATCAACCCCAAAACTCATCAACCTCAAGTCATCAACCCCAAAGTCATCAACCTCAAATGTCATCAACCCCAAAGTATCACTCAAAGTCTCAACCCCAAAATCATCAACCTCAAGTCATCAACCCCAAAAGTCATCAACCCCAAAAGTCATCAACCTCAAAGTCATTCAACCCAAAAGTCTACAACCCCAAGTCAATCAACTCAAATGTCAAAACCCCAAAAGTCTCAACCTCAAAAGTCATCAACCTCAAGTCAAAGTCATCAACCCAAAAGTCATCAAACCTCAAAGTCATCAACCTCAACGTCAATCAACCCCAAAGTCATTCAAACCCAAAAGTCATCAACCTCAACGTCATCAACCCCAAAACTCATCAAAGTCATCACCCAACCTCAAAAGTCATCAAAAGTCATCAACCCAAATCATTCAACCTCATCATCAACCTCAAAAGTCATCAACCTCCAAAGTCATCATCTCATCAACCTCAAAAGTCATCAACCTCAAAGTCATCAATGTTCATTCAACGTCATCAACCCCAAAAGTCAAAACCTCAAAGTCATCAACCCCAAAAGTCATCAACTCTCCAACTTCAATCAACCCCAAAAGTCACTCTCAAAGTCATCAACCTCAAAGTCCATCAAACTCAAAGTCATCAACCTCAAAGTCATCAACCTCAAAGTCATCAACCTCAAAATCATCAACCTCAAAGTCATCAACCCCAAAAGTCATCAACCCCAAAAGTCATCAACCGAAGTCATCAACCCCAAAAGTCATCAACCCAAAAGTCATCAACCCCAAAGTCATTCAACCTCAAAGTCATCAAACCCCAAAAGTCATCAAAAAGTCATCAACCCAAAAAGTCATCCAACCCCAACATCAACCCCAAAAGTCATCAACCTCAAAGTCATCAACCTCAAAGTCATCAACCCCAAAAGTCATCAACCCCAAAAGTCATCAACCCCAAAAGCAGATCAACCCCCAACCATCAAAAAGTCATCAACCAAAGTCATCAACCCCAAAAGTCATCAACCCCAAAAGTCATCAACCCCAAAAGTCATCAACCTCAAAGTCATCAACCCCAAAAGTCATCAACCCCAAAAGTCATCAACCCAAAAGTTCATCTCAACCTCAACGTTCATCAACCCAAAAGTCATTCAACCTCAAAGTCATCAACCCCAAAAGTCATCAACCTCAAATCAAACCCCAAAAGTCATCAACCTCAAAAGTCATCAACCCAAAATCATCAACCATCAAAGTCATCAACCCCAAAAGTCATCAACCTCAACTTCATCACCCAAAAGAGTCATCATCAAAGTCATCAGCCCAAGTCATCAACCTCAACGTCATCAACCGAAGTCATCAACCCCAAAAGTCGCCAGGCCTTCTTCCCACGCTCGCCTCGACCGCAAACATTAACATCTCCGAAAAGCGATGACTCTCGGGCCTCTCACGGACGCCATCTATTGCCATAACGTGTCAGTTTTAATCTGTCTTGTACGACCTTTTCCTGCTTCATCTTCATTTTTTTTTTTTTTTTTTTTTTTTTATCTTTCGTTTTCGTTTCTTTCCCTCTCGGCTTTTGGATGTCTTTTTATGTCTTATTTTTACTTCTTACTCTGTTCTAATTTTTTTTTTCTCTCTCTCTCTTTTATCTACTTTCCCCTATCCTCCATCTTACTTCATTCGTTCTTTCTGTTTCTTTCTCTCCTCCCTTTAATTCTCTCTTGTATTTCTTCTTCTTCCTCATCCCTTCCTGCTTCCCTTCTTTCTCGAATTACCAACCTCTTCCCTCTCTTTTCCATTTCCTTCTCCCCTTACCCCTCTCCTTTCACTACTTACCTTTTCCTCTTTTCCGCTTCTCCCTTTCATACACTTTCTCTTCTATTTCTCCTCCCTTGTTCTTTTTATCCCTTCCCTCCTTCCTCCTCTCTCCCCCTCCCCCCTTTCCCCCTTCTCTCTCCCCATTTCCCCTACCTTCCCCCTTCTCCCCCTCCCTACCATCCCCCTTCCCCCTTCTCACCCTCTCTCCCTCCCCTCTCCCCCCTTTTATCCCTCTCCCCTACCCCCCCTACCCCCTTTCCCCTCTCCACCTACCCCCCCTCTTTTTTTTCTTCCTACCCTGCAAAGCCCCCTTCTCTCTCCTCCACCTCCCCCCTTCCCCTTTTCTCCCTCTCCCCTACCCCCTTCCCCCTTCACACCTCTCCACCTACCCCCCCTCCATTTTTTTTTTCTTCCTACCCTACAAAGCCCTTTTTTTTAATTAATTTCAACCTAAAACGCACACGCTGCCGTATCCGCTACCCGCGTCAGTGAATCAGTAGGCATATTGTGTTCTCGTAATTTGATTCTATCTCCTCCTGTCGACTGCGATGCTGCACGAGAATTATCTGAAAAGAAAAGTTGAACGGGGGAGGTAGGATGCCGAGAAAGAGAGGGAGGGAGGGAGAGAGGGAGGGAGGGAGGGGAGGGAGGGAGGGAGGGGAGGGGAGGGGAGGGAGAAGGGAGGGAGGGAGGGAGGGAGGAGGGAGGGAGGAAGGGAGGGGAGGGAGGGAGGGAGGGAGAGGGAGGGAGGGAGGGAGGGAGGGAGGGAGGTAGGGATGCCGAGAGAGAGAGGGAGGGAGGAGGGAGGGTGGGAGGGAGGGCGGGAGGGAGGGAGGGAGGGAGGGAGGGAGGGAGGGGGAGGGAGGGAGGGAGGGAGAGAGAGAGTGAGAGAAGAGAGAGAGAGGGAAGGAGGGAGGGAGGGAGAGAGAGAGAGTGTGATTGAGTGTGAATATATATCTTTAAGGTTATGTGCGTGTGTGTGTGTGTGTGCGTGTTTACGTGTGTGTGTGTGTGTGTGTGTGTGCTTGTTGTTGGTAAGAAAAAAATTAATAGATTTAGTTCATGCATAATTCTTAAATGGAAGAACGAGGGAGTGAGAGCGCCGGAGAAAATGAGAGTAAGATAGCATCACCAGTCAAAATTCAAACACTCCCGTAAGAAAAAGAAAAAAGAAGAAATAGAAGATGATCAAAGAGAAGAAGAAGAAAAAGAGTAAGAAAAAAAGACAAAGAAGATAAAAGAAAAAAAAAAATGAAATGAAAAAGGGAGAAAAAAGAAAAAGCAAAAAAAAGAAAAAGACAAAGAAGACGAAAAAAAGAAAAAGAAGACGTAGAAAAAGAAAAAGAAAGGAGAAAAAGAAAAAGAAGATGATAAAAAAAAGATAGAAAAAAATATTTTTATACCCTCCTTGCAGGTGTGAAAGGGATCCGGTGCAGCTTTGGTCAGGTCACGCTCAAACTCTGCCAGTGTATATATATGTATATAGTGGCCTTTGACCCTTTGTGTTTCCTCTTAAGAGATACACGGTTCTACTGGTCTTTAGGTTTTCATTTACATATATGAATAAATGTATGTATGCAAAGGCACACACACACACAGACACAATTTTTTTTTTTTTTTTTTTTTTTTTGACGACTCATTCTAAGTGTCCCATCTCCCCCCCCCCCCACCCTTTAGTCTATCTCTCCTCCCATCCTTCTCTTTATTCTCCTTATTTCTCTTTCTTTAATTGTAAATTTTCGTTTATTTTATTTCTCTTCTCTCTTCTCTTCCTTTCTAATGTCTCACCATCCCTCACCCCATCCCTTACCCTAACACCTTACTCTATCTTTCCTCTCATCCTTCTCTTCTCTCTCCTTATTTCACTCTCGCTCTCGCTTTCTCTCTCTTTCTCTCTCTCTCTCTCTCTCTCTCTCTCTCTCTCTCTCTTTCTTTTTCTTTTTTTTTTTTTTGTAAATGTTCATCTATTTTATCTCTCTTCTCTCTTCTCCTCCTTTCTATGTGTCTCCCCATCCCTCATCCCCCCCCCCTTAGTCTATCTCTCCTCCCATCCCTCTCTTCTTTCTCTTTCTTTTTTTCCTTTTTTATTGTAAATTTTCCCCTATTTCATCTCTCTTCTCTCTCTTCTCTTCCTTTCTCTCCTCCCATCCCTCTCTTCTTTCTCTTTCTCTTTCTTTTTTTCCTTTTTTATTGTAAATTTTCACCAATTTTATCTCTCTTCTCTCTCTTCTCTTCCTTTCTCCCCTCCCATCCCTCTCTTCTCTTTCTTTCTCTTCTTTCTTTTCTTTCTTTCTTTTTTTTTTGTAAATTTTATCTATTTTTCTCTCCTCTTCTCTCTTTTCTCTTCCTTTCTGGCTGAGACTCCCCGAGTGTGACAAAAGCGACGCGAATGTCTTACAAGTCCTTAGAGAAGGATGAGAAAGGAAATAGTGCAGACAGCGGCGCCCGGGGTCAGCTGGGGTCAGAAGAGGGAAGAGAGAGGGAGGAGGGAAAGGAGGGAGGGAGGAGGAAGAAGGAGAACGATGAGAAAGAAGAGGGTGAAAAAAAAAAAAAAAAAAAAAAAAAAAAAAAAAAGATTTGAAGAGATCTAGGTTCAATCTCAGTGTCTTTTTTTTATTTTTCTTTATATATCTGACGTGAAGGCGCAACTAGGTTGTGTGTGTGTGTGTGTGTGTGTGTGTGTGTGTGTGTGTGTGTGTGTGTGTGTGTGTGTGTGTGTCTGTGCGCAGTTATATATTTTTTCATTTACTATTTCAATATTTTTCTTTCTTTCGTTTTCTTTAGTCTTTCAGAAACTGCCTCTAGGTATCCACGAAAGAAAATTGCATTTATTTTCGGAACATTAAGGAAAACACAACGTATACTTATGAAGACATCAACAATTTAGAAATTCTTACAGATTCTTTTTCAGCACAGATTTTAAGAAAAAAGGATTTCGGCACCATGTTTAAAAAATAATATAAAAAAATAATATAGAGACAAAGAGAGAGAGAAAAAAATGTAAGATAAACAGAGGGAGAAGCAAAATATAAGATAAAGGTGTAAAGCAGTAATATTAGCTAAATTTTGAAAGAGAAACACTTTGGAAGATTACAGTCAGTAGGAGAGACGCACCTTATATGCAACAAAACACATAAATATCTTAAATAATCTTGCATAATTACAGTGGCACACTTACCTCTCTGCCGGTTTTAAAAAATGCACAAAACACATCATATACAAAATTAAAACAAACAAACATTCGCGAGTTTTGTATAATTCGTCTCTGTAATATTTCCTGGCCTGAGTGCCGCCAATTAGGTTCTCGCCAGTAAAAGAAAAAAAAAATGAAAACAAACTTTAATAAAAGATAAGAGAAATTCGAGCGAAAATGCAGACAAAAGAAACTGAAAAGGGTAGAACGAGAATAAATGGACGAATTAATAATAAGGGAAAGCGATACGAACGAGAGCATATGGAACACAAAGAGAGAGAGAAAGATAGAGAGATAGAGAGGGAGGGATGGAGAGGGAGAGAGAGAGAGAATAGAGAGAGATAGAGATAGAGGAGAGAGAGAGAGAGAGAGAGAGAGAGAGAGAGAGAGAGAGAGAGAGAGAGAGAGAGAGGAGAGAGAGAGAGAGAGAGAGGGAGATAGATAGATAGAGAGAGAGAGAGAGAGAGAGAGGAGAGAGAGAGAGAGAGAGAGAGAGAGAGAGAGAGAGAGAGAAGAGGGAGAGAGAGAGAGAGAGAGAGAGACCAGAGGAGAGAGAGAGGATAGAGAAAAGAAAGAGAAGAGATGATAAAAAGGATATAGGAGAGAAAAAAATATATATATGCAAAACAGGGAGAAAGAATAAGAGAGAATAGAAACCATAACAACAAAAAAATAAAATAACGAAACTTTCAAACGAAGCATGATAAAGCAGAGAAATAGGAAAGGGGGAAGAAACTGCATGTTTTTTTTGCTTTTGTTTTTTCCTCGCATGTTTGCCATGTGGAGCAGATAACTCCTGATAAACGGTGTTGGTTCAGGAGATGATACACCGAGTGCCATGCGCAAGGGAGTGCCATGATGAAAATAAAGGGGCGCCAGGGGGAAATGGGTGAAAGGGCGTCAGGGGAAATGGGTTCAGAAGGACAGTAATGAGAAGGAGACGAAGATAAAGGTTGGGTCTAAAAAGAAGAAAAAAAAAGAAGAAAAAAAAACGGCTTCATTAGTAAATTATGACTTTTTTTCTTCCTTTTAAGAGACACTATAAAGTAACGAGGTAGAAATATCAGGATGATCTAATGGGTACTTTTGATGTCTTCTTTGCTTGTCTATCTATCTATCTCTATATCATTTTGTCTGTTTATTTACATACCCCTTACACATAATTTCTCTCTCTCTCTATCTATCTATCTATCAATCTATCTATGTCTACCTATCTCACTCTCTCTAACTCTCTCATTTCTCTCTCTCTCTCTCTCTCTCTCTCTCTATCTATCTATCAATCTATCTATCTATCTATCTATCTATCTATCTATCTATCTATCTATCTATCTATCTATCTATCTATCTATCTATCTATCTATCTATCTATCTATCTATCTATCTATCTATCTCTTCTATCTGT